AGAAGCGGCGGGTCCCCTACAAGTTTGCGCTGGTCATAACGCAGGAGCGGAGGCTGCGATCCATGCAATGAGTCAAGTGTTTGTTGAAGAAGGAACAGATGGAATATCGCTAATTGATGCTAGTAACGCTTTTAACCAAATGAATAGGTCAGCGGCCTTACACAATATCCTGATCATGTGCAAAGAAATGGCGCTCTATGTGATTAACACATATAGAAGCCCATCTAGACTGTTTATTTGTGGGGGAGGTGAAATACTTTCTCGAGAAGGCACCACACAAGGAGATCCGCTAGCGATGCCATGGTACGCACTTAATACATCCATAATGATACAGAATTTGAGGGATCATTGCCCATTGGTTAAACAGGTGTGGCTTGCAGACGACTCAGCTGGAGGAGGGAGTATAGTGCAGTTATACAACTGGTACAGGCGATTGAGTAAGGAAGGACAAAAGTTTGGTTACCTTGTGAATGGGACTAAGAGCTGGCTTATTGTGAAGTCTAGGGAACTAGCGGAGGAAGCAAAGAGGGTGTTTGGAGAAGAAGTCAACATAACGACTGAAGGTCAGCGCCATCTGGGAGCAGTTATTGCGTCGCGAGAATACAAAGATCAGTATTGTGAGGAGAAGGTTCGTGCATGGAAAGAGGAAATCGAACGTCTCTCTGAAATAGCGAAGAGCCAGCCCCATGCGGCGTATATTGCTTTCACAAAAGGCTACAAGTCGAAGTTCACCTACTTCATGCGCACGATTGAATCGTTTGAAGATTATGTCGATCCAATCCAGGAAGTGATTGAAGATTTACTACTCCCTACTTTGTTCGGTCAATCAGAGCCTCTCCCTAACGAGGTGCGCAGACTTGCTACCTTAGCAACGGGTCAAGGGGGTCTAGGCATTCCTGATCTGAAATCCGAGGCACCGCAGCAGTTTGCTGCCTCGAGACTAATAACCACCGCCCACGTAGATTCTATTACATCACAGAGTTCCATCATGGTGCCAGGAGAAAGATCTACGGAGGAGCTAAAGAGGCATCAACAATCACTTAAGAGAGCAAGTGCCAAAGAGAAAATGGATAGCATTGATTCAAGCCTCTCCCCAGGCCTGCTGCGTCTGGTTAATCAATCGAGGGACAAGGGCGCAAGTTCTTGGCTGAATGCGATGCCTCTCGCAGACAAAGGTTTAGCCCTCAACAAGCAAGAGTTCAGAGACTCGCTACGCTTGCGTTATGACTTACCCTTAGTCGATTTACCAAGTCATTGCATATGTGGGGATAAATTCACCGTTAGTCACGCCCTCTCTTGTAAAAAGGGGGGGTTTGTAGCGCAGAGACATGATGGTGTACGGAACTTGTTAACGACATTCATCGACAAGATCTGCAATAATGTCGAAATCGAACCACGCCTTCAACCCCTGGACAACGAGCGATTTCATTTGAGGAGCGCTGTTACAAGTTCTGAGGCAAGGTTGGACATCAAAGCGGGAGGTTTCTGGGCAAGAGGAGTTACGGCATTTTTTGATGTTAGAGTTACGCACGTCAACTCCAAGTGTTACCAGAGCAAGCCAACATCGGAAGTGTTCAAAGAGCAAGAAGAAGAGAAGAAGCGCAAGTACCAGCAGCGGGTGTTAGATGTAGAAATGGGTTCGTTTACGCCTTTAGTGTTTGGAACCAATGGCGGAATGGGAAACGAGTGTCAGCGGTTCTTAAAGCATCTCGCAGACAAGATAGCTCAGAAAGACACCGAGCCTTATCATGTTGTAATCACTTGGCTCAGGACACAGATCTCGTTTGAACTCTTAAGATCGGTACATGCATGCGTCAGAGGTTCGCGAACGCCGTTTCGTAGCAAGCTAGAGCAATCATTAGACTGTAAAATAAATGTCGCTAGTGCGGATATCTGAAATACGTGTCTATATGCTTTTATACTTAGGGCTTTTTATGGACACTGGTTTAGCCGTCATTAGTATAATTCGATTGCAGGATCTTAATATCTCTGCATAATGGAATTCTTAATTTTATAGAATTTTGAACTTTTATTATTAATTATATCTATTTCCTCTTCTTTTATGTAAGGTTAAGTTACTTCTATTTTTTAGAATTTGTAAATGAATAGTTTTTTCTATCTTCACTTATAATATATAGGATTGTTTTTGTTCTCTAATGAAGGACGAGGGGTTTCTTTTGTAACGGATGGAATTGTAGATAGTGTTTTGATGAATTAATTAGATTTTTTGTAACAGCAGGTTGATTGTAAATAGGATTTTAATTGAGGTTTTGTAATAAAGATTCTTTTCTGACTATGACAGATTCATGAATGTTACAGTATGTATATAATACGCACAAAATGGAAACCGCTTTGTATAGTATTTACTCACTCGTTTTTGTATCAGAAATCTCACGCAATCTTCTAACACGTCAAAAACGAGTTCTAAAATACCGTACCATAAAGTATTCTATGTAACTGGATCATTGTCTTTGATTACGACAACTGAAGTGTCCTGTTTTCCTATAACAACGTTGGGTTGTGATGGTGGATCCACCAGAGATAACTGCAGCTTAAATGCTTCATCACCTTCAGAGACATTATCATCAATCAACCAATTCCCGAAGGTGAACTTTGAGCTGTTTCTATTGGGTAGAAAATCAAAGTCCGTTGGGAAAAAGGAACCAAGCAGATGGTCATCATCAGTGGCGTTTATATTCTCCAAGCTAATTCTAAATGCAAAAAAAATCCATATTTACAAAATAAGTCCATAAACGAGGATTTAATTTTTGACCTTTGCTACCCTCCATGACGAACTCGAGAATTCTACCAAATCATTACGTACATCCGGGTTACCAGGAGATGCGCACAACGATTTCGAGCAAGGTTTGGTTCTTATTCATTACCCTCACAGTAGTGGTGATTGTCGACTCCCCGACAACGGATTTGTTGGCATCCGTGGATTGTCTCTTGAGAGACTGTGTACGCTATTTCACAAATGCTGACCGAAACAACGATTCAGTTAGAAATTAGCGTCCGACAGGCAAAACACGACTTATAAGCTCGTGATAATGTGAGACATTACCTTGAGAGTGTGCTTGAACAGATCGGTTTTTCTTCTTTTCTCTCTCTCGCGCGAATTATCACCTTTTCTCCTCCTAGTCTCGAAGCTAGCCTCCTAGTCTCGAAGCTTTGTATTCTTTCCCTCCATTCACTCTATAAATTCCATGTTTTTTGTTTTCATATTCTCACATTTTAATAGCCGTCCACCTGCATCTCTTTCCTTGCTCCTCCACTTTAATTGTGATTTTCCTGGTTATCTAACTCATTCTCGTTCAACTTGCATAAAAGGTCCCTCGGGTATCAATTTGTTATTAGTTCTCAAGCCTCGGTTATTTGGCCATGGATATCCCACTGATATCCCCTTGACTGTCTGTAACAGCCAGTTGGCACCACTGACTTTAAAAAGAAACTAAAACTTTACTTTTTAAGCCTGAATTGAATTAGCGCAGGATTATCATAGTTTGTTGTTAGTTTATTTGTTACTAGCACTTCTCGTTTTATCTCTGCTATAGGACTGCTTGCATTACTTAATATAAGTTTTGTATCTTGTTTTAGTTTTGTAATTTAGCCTTCAGTCTTCATTTCTACATAAAACAATTTCTGTAATTTTGACCACGGGTCGTATAAGCCCCCGGCTTTGACTTTACTGAGTTTTTACTATATGAACGATGGGATAATAAAGTTAAAGTTAAAGTTACTAGCACTACAGAGAATTACATGCATACTGAGTAATCATTTCCTGTGGTTTATGGTTCTTTAGGTGTTCCTGATAAGAGTTGACCTCAGATGCAGTTGTAAAGTAGCTTAAAGTTTTTTTTTTCTTTGACCTCTGTTTAAGCCTAAAGCTTTAATTTAGTATTACGGCTAAATAAAGATTTTAGTTTCTATGGTTTTCTCCGTAAATCCTAGCCTGTGTACAGACGTCCCCCCTCCCTCAGAAAAATCGGGGAAACGGGAACACGATTATCGTCGGCGATTCACAGACGTCTCTTCTCCCGATTTTTTCTGAGGGAGGGGGGACGTCTGTACACAGGCTAAGTTTAATTTGTCCGGGAATGTGATTATTTCCTGCTATGTCCGGGGGGAGGGTACTCCCAGTATGATGGCCTATACGGGGAGGCTCCGCCCGAAATCCCGGAGAAGTACTCAACAAATATTTTTGCCGGGAGGCTCCGCCCCGAGGTCCAGCCCCTTACCCGTCGAGAAAGCGTTCTATATTTGTGACTGATTCTTGTTTTATGACAGTGCGGGTTCCCAGCAGTTAAAACGGATACAAAGTTCTAAGCAAGGTATGTGAAAGGAGTACCATTTGTCAATAGAAGGTACACGAAATTGTGAAAACTGGTATATAAAAGTTTAAGGGGTGGGCCTCCGCCGTAAAAAAATTTGTTGAATAACCACCCCCCCCCCCCCCCCCCCCCCCCCCCCCCCC